CCGTATTTTCCCCTTTAAAAAAGAAAACAACTCCAACTGGACTCCGTTTGAACTGGAATTATTCGCATTTTCAATTAATATTGACTTTCTCTTGACATTTAAACTTGTTTTGAGTTTAATTTTTACTGAGAGACAACTTTAATTAGATGTCATATATTTAATCATATCACATTAAGCGCACAGTAAGGGTATTCCCACCACTGCCACAGCCAATGCACTTTCATTTGGTTGTAGCTTGAACTACTTTTTATACACACACCACACACCACACACCACACACGCACACGCACATATACATTGCGCTGACTTTTTTGGCATAATTATATTTTTAACACTTATATGCATTGGTTTATGGCAAAATATCTCGTGCTTTCGTGCGAAAAATTAAATGAAAAATCTTCTTTAACTGCAACAACAACTTTAATAATTATTTAATTAAAAATATTCGTTTATTTTTGCTGTTGTTGTCTGAAGTGCAGCGAAAAATAATTCTTTGTGAAGTGCGCTCTGTAGATACAAAAATAAAGCAGAAACTTAAGTAGGGTGCAGCAAACGGTAATGCGTTAAGGGTCGAAAGGTCATGTGGCCAAGCTTGTGCGACTTTAAACAGGATATTCGAAAAGGACTTATATTTTTAAATAAAGAAAATGTGTAATTTAATCTACAAATTACTATAAACTATTGTAACTTTACATCTTATGTACATAGTTTAACTGCTGAGGTGGAGTGAAACTCCTTTTTCCCGCCAAAAAACTATAATTTTATGGCTCATAAACTAGAGAATTAAAAACAATTGAAAGCTGATATTGATTGCCTTGAGAAGTATCTTGCACAATCCACAAAAGGCAACAGGAAATCTTAAAAAAATCTGCCTGAACAATCGGATGACCATAATGAGACGAGTTTAGGTAGCTCACGCCTTGTAGTTAGGTAAAACTAACTGTTATTGTTACTACGTGTGTGTGTGTGTGTGAAGTGCAACCCAATACATCGCAAATAGCATTTGTATGGCCATAGCATAAAAATTCGCATTAAAATCACAAAACAGTTGCAATTGTCGTATCTCTGCTTACCTTTTAATCTTCTATAACGTTTCCATTAATACGCAGCGGTAGTCACCCTGCTTTTGGCCAGGCCTCACTGCCATTGCCAATGCCAATGCCAATGCCAATGATGAGAAATTAATGTGCGTACACAATTTCACATTGCACAGAGATACCCAAGTCTCAGGGCTCAGGGCAAGGGCCCAGCCAAGCCTACTCCGTCCACTCTCACACAGCATGAGGCATGAGGCATGGGCAAGAGCGTCACGGTCTCTTCGCCGTCTTTTCGCTCAGCGGGATAGAGTGCTAACCATTGTTGGGAAATTTCATGGCGCTCCGCACGGGGTCCGCAGCATTGCTCGTACTGTGATCATTGTAAGGTGTAACAAAAAACCCAATAGATAGAATTTTTGTCAAATGGAAATTGTCGTTTGAGCGCACAGTTTATGAGCTGTTGCGGCTGCAGCATGTTGTCAAGCCCATCTACAGAGCCGTTGCGGCTTAGCGCTTCACGCCCCTGAATTTACCTGTAACTAGCGGGAAGACGAGTCGCAAGCGGAGTTTTAATTTGGAAATTTTAAATAAGTTAGCTAATATGGAAGTTAAGAAAATAGAAACTTGAATCATAAAAAAAAATGTTTAATCAAAATTTATTTGATCAATAAATTTAATTGAATAAATAAGAAAAAAATCGTTTGGGAAATAAAATTAAATGATAAACAACTTAGCTTGATGTAAATATGAAAAATGTATTCAAATTGTCCCAAACATTATCTATATATATAAACTAACATCTTCAAATTTTAAGCTAAGCCCATCTCTAAACCTCAATTCAACTGCTTTCTAAGTAAGCTCAAGATTATAAATATGGATCTGTACATCTGTAGCCAGAGCTCTCACTTACATTCCCCACTTAGTGTCCATCACTTAACACTCAACTCAAAGCTCTAGCTTAGAAATGAAAATGGAAAATACTTTCAGCAGCCGTGTCAAGACGCCCCCAAAAACCCCAAAATATGTAGCTAAATCAAAAACTATACGAAACGTGGCCCAAATCGCGGCACGTTCAACTTAATTGCCCCGAAAAGCTTTTGTGTAACTTCTGACCGGCCAATAGATAACAACAGCTGATAAATAGCGCGTCGAATCGAAAGAGCGCCGTAGGAGAATGAAGGCGCGTTAACCTGCCCGGTAAACGCAATTGTGAAATGCTTTAATTTCTGAAGTACCTTTAATGAGCATTTTCAACATGGTCATCATACAATCAGCAGCAGCAGCAGCAACAGCAGCCGCCGCTACAACAGCCGCCGCGCCGTGTTTCATGCAGAGCGTATTACAATGGCTCCAATATTTGGACCATGGCTCGTCATAATTACTGCCCAAAGCATAGTTTTTATTTAGGCCCCATATTCTGGACGGGTCGATTCTGAACCAGTCAAAAAGCCAGAGCCAGAGCCAAAGCCAAAGCCAAAGCCTCAAACAATCTGTAGATGGATCGGCTACATATCTGAGCATCAGCCGTTGTTGTTGTTGCCTGCGCATTGGGGAATTAATGATTACGTCCGTACGGACTGTTATTTGGAGTGTTGTGGCCGGTTTTGCGGCTTGATCCAGTAACCCTTTAATGCAAACACAGGGCCAAATGAACAGTAACTGAAACTTGCTCAGTAGCTCTTTCACTCGACTGGGTTTTTGGAGCCGAGTCGCTTGGTCTCTCACATGAAAGGAAATTGTAATGATCGAAATCAAAATGTTTTCGTTACTTTAGCTCCTAATGAAGCTTGAATAGTGCGAATGACTCTACACAGTTGCTCGCTAACCCGCTGGCTGCTGGCTGCTGCCTGCTGCCTGCTAACTGTTGGCTATTGGCCATTGGCCGTTGGCCCCTCGGGGGCAACACAATCGCACCACGCGCCTTTTAATCGAAATTTGATGATGAATTCCCAACTCAACTTAACTCAACTCAGCTCGATTCAATTCAAAACTCAAGACTTGAGTCCATTCGACTCTGAACTTGGGCCCGAGTGCTTCAAATGCTACTTTAAGCACCGCAGCTCAAGCACTTTTATTGTTGGCCATTTGGGGCTTTTGGCCTGCCGCTATTTACCTTTGTTATTTATTTATTGTTATTATAGTACATGCCTCTACTTGTGTTCTGGTTTCTCTATCTCCGCTTTTTAATTGTATAAATAGGCTTGGGTTTCTGCTTATTTGTATCGAGCATTAACCGCCACATGATTTGCTTGAAATTGTCAGAAGATTATCAAAGAAATAAAATAGATTTTCTAGCTTGGCTTTTCTTTTGTTCACATTTAACACAGTTGCATTTGCCACGACTTTGACTTCATGTAAGCCAAATGGACGAGTTTCTAACGAATAGAAAATTGTATATAAATGAATGTCTGAGGGAATTAGGTAGAGTTTACTCGTTCTTTTTTGAGTTACACAAGTTTTAATCATAATAAAACTATAAAATAAATTTTAAGTATTAATAAAGTGAACTTTGTGGGATGGAAACGTATATGACATTATTGTTTAAATATAGTTTCTGAATCTAAAACATAAATTTGCACTGTTTTTATAATGGTTTAGAAGAGAAAGAAACCGATAAAACTTATAAAATTCTAATAAATATAAATAACATAAAAATATTTTATAAATATAAATATAAATATATATACATATAGAAATTTAATTAAAAAACTGATTATTTATAAAAAAATAATAAATAAATATTTATTTTGTTGATAACAACTTAAATCAAAAATGTTTTTACTTAATGAAAAATGTCAAACTTTTCTCTGCAGTTATAAAACTTTAATAGTTTTTTAGCCAGTTTATGTTACCAACTAAAACTGGTTTAAGCCCAGAATAATTAATGTTAATTATATATAAATTAATATAAAATAAATATATATAAATGAGCATAAAGCAAAGGCAAGCCTTTGGCACACGCATAAAATTTGGTCTTGACAATTTCAACTTTTACATTACCTTTTTCAATTTTTCATTTGTTGGCAAGACTCAATTTTCCTCTCAGCCGCTGCATAAATATTTTGCGTCACATTTTCTCGCTTTGCAACTGTGAAGAGAGAGGCAGAAAAATTGTACGCACTTTGCAGCTTTTAACTTTCAATTTAATTAAAATTGAGTGAAGTAAAGTAAAATTAATGCACTATTATGCAAAAGTAACAAGCTACAAAACTTTGACAGCGCGCCATGTGCCGTCTAGAGTATCTAACCAGATGCCAATGTATCTAACAGTGAGAGAGAAGGAGAGATGGAGATGGAGAGGAGAGCAGTGCCAGCGTATGCCTATAAGTGTGTGCATAATAGGCACATACACTTACACATGCATACATTACACATACATATATACACCTAGAAAGTCGCACCCCTTTCAGCTGCCACCTGCTGCCTCAGCAGAAGTTGCAAGCTCATCGCTGAAGAAAATAAATGAAATGAATTGTGAGCTCTTGTTTTTCAATTTTCCAAGTAGTTTTTTCGTTTTTGCATATATTTTTTCACGATATTTGCTTAAATTTGCATAAATTTTTTCACTAACTAATAAATACATAGTCATGGCTTATAAATACGCTTTTCTTGATGTTTTAACAATCAATTTTTTTGTTTCGTTTTAAATAATTTAAATATAACTTACAAGTGACTCTCAGTGCTTTGTTGATTTTTTCGATTTTTTTGTTTTTCCTCTTGTTTAGGTTAATTTACAATTTATGATTTACGAACTAGCTGCTTACGGGCTAAATAAATACAATTCGCTTTCGTTTTGTTGTTATGGAAAAATAGTAGTAGAAAGACAGTAAGTAGTCAAAGTGCATAGAGATCGCATTGAGTTTTTGGTGCTTATGTACAGAACAATAGAATTTGATCAAGTTTTTAATTATGTTTTCTAACTTATGTCTCAAGCAGCGCTTACACGTGCAATGCTTTATAGCTGAGAAAACCTTGTCGATTACAGATATACAGTTATCAGTTATATATATTCTAATATATTGTGTAAGATAATATAATATTTCGATTGATCGTGATCTGACACGTGTAAACGCCGCTCGTTAGTATCTTATGTGCTCTACTACTACAATTTCTTCAGATTACGCATAAGTGCTTGTTGGGGGGAGTCATTGGGAGAGGGCGGGGCGGGTGCGGGTTTAGGCTTTAAGTATTGGCATCACAGTTGACAACGACACGACGGACTAAGCGTAAATGCTTAGCTGCCTGCGACGATAGTGCTCCGAGGATCAGTGCGTGAACTGGCGCATGGTGCTCGTATTGTTGTTGTGTGTGGACTTGTGCTGGAAGGAGCGACGTCCGGTGGTGGCGCACAGGCCATTCCTCAGCGGCAACGCTGGCGGCAGTGGTGGTGGCGTGGGTGTCTTGCTGCGTCCCATTTGCTCGAGGGGCAGCGAGTAGTGTGCATTGCTGTAGATATAATTGGGATCCATCATTTCGCCGGTGGCATCCGCATCGAAGTCACGCGGCTCTCGTTCGCGCTGCTTGAAGTGCTCGTGGGTGACACGCAGCTGTTGTGGTGCATGCACCATGGGCACATCCGCATACGAGTAGCAAGAGTCGGCAACGGTTGCTGTGGCAGCCAGAAACTGCGGCTTCGTATAGTGATTGAGCTTGGACTGCTGTGGATGTTGTTGCTGCTGCTGTTGCGCCAGTTGCTGCTGCTGCTGCTGCTGTTGGTCGCGTCCCATGGTTGCCGCCTTCATGTGCAACACAAAGCTGGCGCTGTCATCGATGCTGCCCGCCAAGCTCTTGTTATTATTCAGCTTCTTCTCGTGCATCAGCGTCGCCGACATGGGCACTTGCAGCTGCTGGAACTTGTGCTGGCCATCGACGGCATTCAAGTCGTTGATCGGCATCGGGCACATGCCATAATGATGATGACCTCCAGCCGTTGCCTGATGTGGTGCCGTATAGGTGTTGGGAAAGGTGGAGTGGATGCCCAGTGAGCAGGGATGGTGCTGCAGACGCGACATATAGTCCTCATCGCAGAAGGTCTTCTGATATTCACGCTCCTTGCGGCCTAGTGCCGAGTTGCCCCAGACACCGCCCTTGAGGTATTCGCGAATCTTGTGACGGCAGCGATACAGAACCAGCGCCAAGGCAGTGATCGTGGCTGCAGAGCCCACCAGCAGGGCGCCAATCAGCGCCTGTTTGCGTGGATCGGAGTGTGTGCAGCCCATGAGCGTGGGATTCAGATGCTTCAGTGCCTCGCCACGCAGACGTTCTGGGAACTCGCAGAGCAGCTCAGCCAGTTGATCCTCTTGGCTGGCATTTTTAGCTACCAACAAATTGCGCAACCACATGACGCGACAGTCGCAGGACAGCGGATTCTCAGACAGATCCAAAGTAGTCAAATCCTTCCATGGGAACAGACCCTCAGCCAGAGAGGTCAAGGCATTGGCTTTCAGCACAACATGACGCAGATGAGGCAATCCACTGAGTGCGCCCTCTTGCACCTCCACGAGCATTTTGTTGGATGACAAATTCAAGTACTCCAGATTTCCATTGGCCGCAAAGGCGCCTGTCATCACGCGCTTCAGCTTCAGAGCTCCGTTGATATCCAAACGCTTCAGCTGCTTCAGGCCCACGAAGGCGCCCTCGCTGATCAGCTCGAAGTCATTCTGACCCAGCGATAGCTGTTCCAGGCGCACCAAGTGACTGAGGCCCACAGAGGGAATACGTGGCAGCCGATTGTCGGAGAGATCCAAGACGCGCAGCTCCTCCAGACCCAAGAAGCTGTCATGCGAGATGTTCTGCAGGCTGGCGCCCTTCAGCTCCAGGCGAGTCAAGCCCTTCAGATCCTTGAATGCGCCCGATTGGATGGTTAGCAGGGAGTTCATGCCGAGGAAAAGTTCAGCCAGGCTTGGCATGGCCTGGAATAGGACGGGATCTGGCACTGTGGTCAGCGCATTGTCATCCAAATACAAAATGCGCAGCTGTTTCAGTCCATCGAAGGCCTTTGGATCGATGAAGCCAATGCGATTCTCGCCCAGATTCAGCTCCTCGATTTTGAGCAGTGGAGAGAATGTGCCCTGATGCAGCTCCGAGATCAGATTGCCACGCAGATTGAGCACAGTAACGGCGGATAGGCCAATGAAGGTCTTATTGCTGATCTGGCCAATCTTGTTGTGGTTCAGATGCACCTCCTGCAGCTTCTTCTGGTAGGCAAATGTGCGCTGTGGTATGGTCATCAGATGGTTCTGCGACAGATCCAAGAACGTCAGCTCCGCATAGAACTGTATGGACGAGTCGATGGTCTTGATCTTGTTGCTCTTGATCACCAAACGCTGAATGGAGGGATTCAGTGCTATGGGCAGCACGTCCAGCTGGCCTTCACCACACTGAACCACCAAAGTATTGTCGTCGCACTGGCAGCCGGGAGGGCAATTTGCCAACGCCACCGTTTGGCTCACACAGATGCTGACCAAGATGCAGCTGCAGATGCAGATCAACTTTTGTAGCTGTTGCATTTTGTCTGGTTGCTTTTGTTATTTTCTTGCTGTTGTTGTTGTTGTGGTTAGCGCCTTCCGGCGTCGATTTGCGATTTGCAGTTAATTTCGCCTTCGATGCAAATGTTTTCTGTCTGTGTGTGTGTGACTTTTTGCTGTGCTAGTTTGCTTTAGTTGTCCATAATGCTATGAGAGAGAAATGAAATTGCAATGCAAAAGAAAAGTTGGTTAGCTGTGTTTTCTTGCAACGAAGCTATTTTAAGAGTTATTCATAGATATCACATGGCTCGAGAAACATAAATTATGTTGTCTTTTATATATAGATTTTTTTTTAAATTTAGCTCAATTCAAATTTTTTTAAATAGAAAATTTATTGCTTTACATTTTTAGTTCAACTCTATTTTGGAAATCTTAATTTAAAATTAAAAAAAAACATCATTTAAATCTTAAAACTTTTCTTTACATTTATTATTTTATTTATTTATTTTATTTTTCTTTTTATTATATATAAACTAAATATTATATATAATAAATATTTGACTTTATTTTTTTGGTATCATAAGTGTATTAGCATCCATTTATTTTTTAAAATATAAATAGATATTTTGGTATAACTTTTAATATTTAAAATTTTTTAAAATTTAACAATTTTTTATTTTTATATATTTTTTATTATTCATATATATTTTTCAACATTTTAAAATATATATATATACTTTATTCTGATTATTTTATTTAATATTTTCAATATTTCTTATTTAATTTTTAAACATTTTATATTTCTCTAGCACTTTACTTATATTTTTCTGCATCTTTTAGATCACAAAACTTACCTTTTATAATTTGTATGGCGCACAGTAACAATTTTGTTGAAGTCTGCAGATGTTTTGTTTTTGTTTAAGTTTTTGTAAATTATATGAAAACAAAATAAAATTTGTTTGTTGTTTTCTTTTTGGGATTGTGTTAGCCAATTTGTTGAGAGTTTCACTTGAACTGAACTTAAAATTTCACATGCAGCTAATAAATTAAATTTTATTTAGCCAATTCATAACTTTTATATGTTTCGTATTTTATTTTTCAAAATAAAAATGATGTTTCGTTTGGTTTTGTTTTGTGTGTGTGTTTTGTATTTTAGTTGTGTTTCTTTTGTTTGAAAATCGTGCGCGATAATCCAGTGGCTCGCTTTGCTGCACGCTTCAAGTTGTTGTCACACGGTTTACGTTCTTTTAGGTCTTGGCAAACTGTTGGCCAAAATGTGAGACACAGTCGGTGCTGGGCTAGTGTACAACCGAACACGACGAGGCAACGAACTACACTGATTTAGCTGAGCAGGCAGCGCATTGACGATACCTCGGTCCGAGTGTTTTTAGCTACGGCAGCAGCTGCAGGCGAGGCGTAAATAATCCACGACGCGGCCTTGCAACGAAACCAACCCGAGCGTCAGACAAAGAGACAGAACGAGCGCGAGAGCGAGAGCGGGAGCATACACCACACAGTGGTGCAAATGAGCGCTCAGATAAAGCAGCTGCCGAGAGAGCCAAACAGGTTTTCAGGCCAAACTCACTCAAAGCGATTCACTCACAATTTATCTGAGGCAACAATGGGAGACCGGGCATGGACTCGACGCTCTGGGCTCTGTTGCAACTGCAGCACGACGAACAGTTGAGGCCAGGCAGCCCATCAACATAAACACACGAAATGCTTCGAGTTTTGTGGCCAAAACCATAAAAAGCACTAAGTAGTCGAAATATTTGACGTACTTTAGACTTTTTCCTTAGACAGATGATATGTTGAGGCCATGTCGGGCACTTGGCATAATTGAGCCGGCAAAACACGTAGGCGATTTCATTAGATTTCATTAGAAAATCAACTTAGGCAGCGTTAAATGTCAAGTGGACATCAATTGATGCGGTTTACTTAAATCTAACACTTAGAGCAAAAAACGTCACTCTTGAAACTGATATGCCCGGCTAGGTAGTCGTAGCTGTTGTAGTAGTAGCTCACATATCTCATGGATGCGTATCTCATGGATGCATATCCCATAAAGGACACTCATTACACTCATGCTGTAATCGAAAACAACTTGAAAGTTGCTAAACCTTTTCTGTACAGCACAACACAAACGCAACTCAACACATGCCCCAAAAACCACGCAGCGAATTGTTATTTATAGTGTCATTTGATACTTGGGACATGCTTGTCTATTGCTCTCTGCTCAGCATTTCGATGCATTTTTGAGTTATAACCCAGAGCAATGCACAGATACAGACGTGAGCAACAAAATATGCAGACTGTTCAACTATTTACAAACACACACACGAGCACACACACAACAACTGTGACAACAAGAAAATCAACTATAAATGGCCATAACTTTGTGCCAACATGCTGAACGAGTTGGCGCAGGGGTTTTTCGGGGTTTTACTGGCATTTGCCGGTTGCATAACGTGCATATTTTTACCATCTCTAAATTCTTGTAAAAGTATGCAAAATATTGTTTGCCCATGTCTACGCAAATGAAAATCTGCCCAAAGAGTGGCAGAGAGTGCATCTTTGCATATTGACAACTGTATCTAGTAAATCAACATTCGGCAGGCACTGTAGCCACTGTAACCCATAATTATTTTCACTTTCCATATATATTTGTTTCTGTTTTTTTTTGTTTGTTGCTGTTGATTTGCATCTGCCATCAATGTCAGCTCTGTGGTTCACAACGTAAGTGCAAATAGTCAAAAAATATTGAGGCGACTGTAAATGCAATAAATATGTCAAAAAGTAACTAAGAGCTGAAAATAAAACTGAATCTCTTTATGGAATATTTCAGAATTATTCATTCAATGAAAGAGTAAATCTTTGTTTTGTAAATCGCACGGATTATTTCATCAGAAAGCCGAAAAAAGTTGAGGAAGTGTTGATATGAAAGAAATATCTATCAATATGAACAGCTGAAACTCATCTGTGTGTTGTATTATTTAAAAAAATATGTATTTATTATATATAAAATATAATCAAAAGTAGTTTTTCCCAGAGCGAGAATATGCGGAAGTAATATTTAAATGAATATAAATAATTTAAAACGTATATGTAATATATTCAAAATGAAAATTTTTATATAAAACAGGAAAAAATTTTAAAAAAAATAAGCAAATAATATATATTATTTATAAATAAAAAAAATCCTATCATATATCAAATTCATTTTTAGTTTAGAATATATAAAAAATTCGTAAATGAAATAACATATTGCGAGAGGCAATTAAGATTTAAACTATGAACATTTTAATTCAGTTTGACAGCTTGAATAGATCAAATTTGATGTAATTATTTTTAATTTTTAGAAAGTTTCTGATTTCCAAAAAAAATATATCTACAAAGTATGCCGCAACACATTAATAAAAAAGACTTGCAGCAATTAAGCTTTGATGGCGACAGCAGGTTGCCACTTGCCACATGCCACATGGGCGGCCATAACTAATTATAGAAAAGAAACTTAGCTAAACTAAACTAACTCTTGCAGCGGTACTTGATCTACATCTAAGGCCGCAAATAGCTGCAGCAGGTGCACAGAAAGTTGATTTTTTTCGGCTCTCACGTTACACTTAATATCAGCTAAGGCAACGTCACTTTGAAGGGGCCTTTCAATTTGCGACGATGTGTGAGAATTGCTTGGCAATAAATTTTAACAACATTTGAGGCGAAGGGAGCGAAAGAGAGGTGAAGGTAGGCTGAGTTGGGTAATCGCATCTAAACAATAACTGGAAATATTTGTTTACGCTGCGCATATGAAAATTGTTTAGTCGAATGCTAAAAAGCACTTAAACAATTAGACAGATTTGGGGAGCGATGTGTAATTAGGTAAAACACTGCAACTACCGTTGCATTCGACAAAGCATAAATGCAAATAATGCATGGCAAAGCCAGCCAAGCCGAGAGCTGAAACGGCTAAAAACTGACTAAAAATACAGTCAACAAACAACAGCGACGCACTTTGGGCAAACAAAAAAAGCGAAGGGCGAGGTAACTTATGGGAACGCTTAGAGTGACCAGCCATCCAAGCGAAACCAGAGTTTCGTAGGGTCAGCTGTGCTAGCAAATGCCCTGCATGTAAGTGAATGCATCGCATGAAATATTGAACTATGAATGTGAGCTCAAAAGGATTTCTGTGATTAAGGTTCAGCTCACACAAAAAAAATATATGAATAAATAATATATAGAAATAAATATTAAAATATAATATAAATGTAAAAAAAATCTAAAATCTACGTATGAAATTTGTTTTATATATTCAACAAAAAAAATATACATAATAATAATACATAATATATAATACATATAATAATAATACATAATGGCAATAATAAAAACATTCCCAGTTATAAAAATAGTAAATATTTAATAAGGTAATAATATTATTCATATATCATTATTATAAATGGTTTAACAATTTAATTTAATATATTTGATCATTTTTTGGTGTTTATTTTAAATATTTTTTGGGATACTCCTTCACTTATATTTCAAGCTGTGACTAGAAATCAACTCAATATAATTTTGACTTCTCTAATACATGCACAGTTAGGGAAAAGAAACTTATATAAATTACATTGCTAGCCAACTAATCTGCCACTCTTCAACTCTGCTCTATAGGGTATATAACTCAACGCAGCTGGCTGCGCATGCGCTGTGAGCCGTTGCCGTCGACGTCGCATTTGCTTGTTGTTGCTTTATTAGAGCCGTTGTCTTAACAAGAAACTTGTTAGTTGCAACGGGTTAAGGCTAACAAATGTATATAAAAAAAACGAACAACAACAATAGGAAGAAGAGAAAAAGACGATGTTTGCCCGGCGCGACGTTGTCATTCGTCCGTCAGTCGGTTAACTACTTTGAACATATTTTTCAGCTGCCGACTTTTCCAGGCCCATTTGTCAGCATTTAGGCAAACATTTTCAAACAAGCCCAGTCTAATCCGAGCTAGAGACAGTTCCGGTGCCCGTTTGGACCATGCTAAATGCAACTTCCGCAATCTCCGTGTTCCGTTTCCTTAGCGCTTTTTGTCTTCGATCCAATAAAATATCAATTGACTCGCAATTAATCATATTCCAAATGTGCAAAGGGCAGTTAGTGAGCTGATGGCGAATAGAATAGTTCCATCGCCTGGGCAACCGGAAAGAAGTCCCATTGTCCCATTGTTCGGAATTGTACTTACTTTTGATTTTCCTACCTATTTTCGCTTCACACTTTTTTTTTGTTCAGCTCCGGTTTAAAGTCGTCTCCTGGTGCTACTCGTTTTTTCTCTCTCTCTTTCTTTTAGTGAAATCACAATAAATAATGAATCAAAAAATGAGCGTTAAATGCAACGAGACGACGAGAAGGAAGGCTGACAACAACAGCAACAACAACAGAAAGCAACGGAAGTGAGTACACAATGGATCTGAAAGAACTGGGCACAATGGAGTCTCAGAGACTGCGTACTGCCTACCCCATGGTAAAGGTTAAGTTTAAATCGATGCCTTGAAAAGTAAGTAAATGCCCATACACACATCCATATAAAAAAAAAAACAAATATATATATATATATATATATATATATATCTCACAGTTTGATTGTTCAAAGGTAGAGCTAAGCATTTGCTGACTTGTATTATTTCTCTCTGGCTTTTTTGTCTACCCATTCAAGCTGTGTGCTGTTTGATGTGCATGGAGCTTTGCTAATGCATGTCTGGGCTGGTAACTAAAAACGTCATCAAGTGTTTGGTATTTAAGAGATTTCAGCAGCTATTAAAGGTAATTCGACTTTCAGCTTGGTGCAAGGTAAGCTGCTCAAGCTTTTAGAGCTTCATATCAAAGGCAACCGAAGTGTTTTGAAAATGTGAGTGTCAAGCTTAAGGGCCACATCAGACTAGAGAAAATTGAGAGTTGAAAGATATAGAAATGTACAAGTAGAGCAGCCAAAGTATATAGAATTTCAAACTGCCTCTAACTATCTATTTATAGTTTGTAATTATATCTAACACTTGGAGTAAAAAATATCATATTATATTCCTTGGTTTTCCCATGAA